CCCCAGGGGCCCGTGGAACGGAGGACACAAGGCTCCCTGTCTCACCCTGTGGAGCTTCTGGGTCACCTCCCAAGTCCCCCTGAACACTGTCACGGGGTCTGTTTCTGGAGGAACCAAACTACAGCTCCATGAGTGTCTCATCAACAGACGGGAAACCGAGGCAGCAAGAAGCTCCAGAGTAGCGGGGGAGGGGCTGAGGGAAGGCCTCTGACCCAGGAAAGTGCCCCCGGGGCCTCAGGGTCCTCCAGCCCTGGCCTCCCCCACCCTCAGGATGGCTGCAGGCCCCGGGGGCCTTTGGAGGGCTTCAGGCAGAGGCTGACATCTACTGAGGACATGGGGACAGGGTGGCCTGTGACTGAGCAGTGCGAGGGGCTGGTCAGGGGTCATTCTCTGGTCATCTTCTGGGGACTCATTGGGGAGGCCTCTGAAGGCACCCAGGGCCACCGCGCAGGGCAGGGGTATCCGGGCCTGGGGCCCCGTTCCCCTCGCCCCTCCCCCCCGCCCCCCAGGTCACAGGCCCCTGGCCCCACCCTGGCCTCTGGGGGGAGGGTCCGCGCCCGGCCAGGGCTGGCAGCTGCAGCGGGCAGCCAGCTGGGCCTCCTGACGCCGCGCAGGCCCGGAGGCGAGCACGTGGCTGGCCGGGTGCTGCTGTTTCTGCCCCAGCGCCCGCGCGCCCCGCCCCGTCTGGGCAGATGGTCGTGTAAGTGACGCCACCCGGACGGGGCCGGGGTCTGCCACCCCCCCTCCCTGAACCTTGCCTATTGTCCTGGGCTCAGGTGGCCTGTCCCCCATGCAGCGTGGCCAGGCGGGGCCTGCAACGGGGCTAGGTGCCCAGCTGTCAGGGTGCAGGATTGCACCCTGAGGACTCTGCAGGACTGGGGAGACCCTGCAGATGCCCAGGACCCCTGACTGCAGGGAGCCCGTCTCTGGGCAGCTGGAGGTGGTGGCAGGATCTTCTCTGGTGTCCCCAAGAAGAAAGGAAGCAAGTCACATCTGTGAGGGCCCGTTTGTACCTGGCCCTGGAGGGCCACCTCGGGATCTTGCCATCCCACCCCTCCCTGCCCTCCTGGGGTCCAGCCACCAGGAGGGAAAGCTCCCGAGGATCGTCCCCTGGACAGCTGCCCCCTGGGGCTGCCCTCTGGGGCTGGCATCCCCCCACCCCCAGCACCCGCCCGTCTGCCTGGGTGGCTTCTCCAGGTCACGTGAGCGCAGGCTCCACTCCTCCGTGAACTTGACCCACAGTCTCTGCCCCTCTGGGCCTCGGTTTCCTCATCTGTAAATGCACAGTCACATGCCTGGGGGGGGGGGCGAGGATGAGGTCCAGCCAGCGAGCCCGCTGCCCTCTCTGAGCCCCGAAGTGGAGGCTCCCTGCCCTGCACCGGGAGGGGAGGGCGGGAAGGTGACGTGTGTGTGCCCAGGGGTCTGGGGCTGCCCACCCCTGGCTCTCATGCCCTCCTTGCCTCAGGGCCAGCGGAGGCCTTGCAGCCCTTGGTGGTCCTGTGGGAGGGGCTGACCGTGTGGGGAGGGAAGCTGGGGCCCCCCTCAAGGCCTGGGTGACACCCATGCCCCGTGTCTGCTCCTCTTTTGGGGTGGGAGTCCCCGGTCCCTGGTGTCCTGGAGAGAAGGCCGCGGAAGCCCCAGGACACAGCAGAGCTGGACAGGTCCCCGCCGGCAGCCCCTCCCAGGCGGCTCCTGTCCTCCTGGCCAGGGCGGAAAGACAGTCCCCTCTAGGACAGCCTGGCCCGGGGGTGTGGCCGTCTCCGCCCGTGGGGGCTGCAGGCTCTCCAGCATCCCATTCTGCAGAGGTGGAGGGCGGAGGCGCAGGGTGTGGCAGGGTCCTGCAGACGGTGACAGTGGGTCAGGACCAGTGGCGTCCCGTCTCCCCGCAGCCGCTCTGTGCTGGTGGCGGTCTGGCCCGAGCTGCAGACCAGCTGTGTGCCCCACACCACGTGGCTCCTGAGATGGCACCGGCGGGTCCTGGAGCGAGAGGGCGGGCCACACTGGCCCCTCACCTACCTGCCCAGCCAGGAGGCCCCAGAGAGGCCGCCATGGTGTGGAAAGAGTGCAGTCTGCTCCCAAGGCCAGTCCTGCACCTGTCTAGCCTTGGTGCTCTGGGACTGTAGGGTGAGCAGAGGAATGAAGGAGGGAAGCCGTAGAGGGCACCAGCACCTGGTGCTGAAATCACATCCCTCTCTTCCCCACTACAACCCTTCTCTGGCTCCACTGCACCGGAGCACCCCACGCCTGTGATCCCCTTGTCCACAGTGGCCAGGAATGTTGACCTTTCATCAACCACGCTCTTCTCTGCCCCAGGACCTTTGCACATGCATTCCCTCTGGCTGATAGGGTTTCCCTGCTTCACTGCTGATTCTTGCTCCTGCCTGTCCCTGCAGAGAGGCCCTTGACGGACAACTTCCTCCCGCAGTCCCCTCTGCAGCCCTGCGCGGAGGGCTCTGGTCTTTCCTTCCTGGTGTTCCCTACGACTTGATTATAATATCTGTTCCTCCTCACTGTCCATCTCCCCCGGTAGAATGTGCTCCGTGTGGCACGGGGGGGACCTCGCCTGCCCTCTGCCGCCCTGCAGACCCTGTACTGAGCAGCTCTGGTGCTCAGCTGGTGGTCAGAGCCGGGCTGGCCGGGACCCATGGGCTCCGCCTGGCTGTCTGTCAGGCCCTGCGTCCCTGCCTCAGGGCTCCTGGGGACCTTGGCCGTCATCTCTGAGGATGGAGCACACCAGGCTCTCTCTAGGCTTTTCTGGGGCCCTGGAGGACAGGGGCACCACTTGTGCTTGGGGTCACTTGCAGAGGCCAGGCCTCCCAGCCTCGGGGACCCTTTGGGTGAAGAGTGGGAACAGCCCCACAGGATTGTCCAGGCAGCAGTGACAGTGACAATATCCTGGTCATTGTTGTGCTGGCCTGGGCTCAGCGCTTTAGGAGGGCCACCCTTTGTCGCTCCTCAGTATTGTGGGAGGTGACATCAGGGCTCTGGGCCTGGGGGGTGAGGTGACTTGCCCAGGTCACCCTGTGAGGATGTGACGGGGGGAGGTTGGTACAGAGGCAGCTGGACTCCGAAGCTGGCACAGGGCACCAGGCCTCGTGGCTTCTGGGCTTTGGGGCAGAACAGGGAGGTGCTGAGGGACCAAGGGGGAGACCCAGCGTCCCCAGGGGGTTTCCTGAGAGTCTGCGGAACCTGCCCTGGGACACAGGGCAGGTCACAGGCCCCTTGTGTCCCCAGGATGAAGTGGGAGGGAGCGTGGCCTTGACCTCCTGGGGGTCGCGAAGGTCAGGTGGGAGGACACCCTGGGCCAGCCTCGCCTCGGGAGCTGGCCGTGGGGCTCCTGGGCGCACCCCTGCCTGGCCGGGCACTCGGACCCAGGACGTGGCTGAGGCTGAGGTGGCAGCAGGGCTCCCGGAGGCTGAGGTGACAGCCTGAGGCCACAGAGCGGGGCTGCTTCACGCCTGGGTGGCCTTCCTGTCCCGCGGACCTGGCGCAGCGCGAGCGCGTGGCACATGAGACACGGGGACGCGACATGCGGCTTGCAACCAGGACCTGGCTCCGGGGACTGGTCCTTGCTCTTTGCTTGAGGGACAGTCCTTCACCCCAGCGAGAGGCCACCAGGGCCTGGGCCCGTGTGGCACCCAGGGCCTTGCCCACGCTGGGCAGGGCCAGCCCCCGGGCTCCCTCCAGCCACTTCCCCAGCGCACCAGTGCCTGGGGCATCTCTGTCCCCAGAGCTCAGCGCGGCCCGGTGGGGACAGTCGGGGACGGTCCATGCTCCGTGTGGAAGGGCTCTGTCGGTCGAAGAGCAGGTCATCCACCACCAGTTCTTCTCTAGATACCTGGGCCCAACACATAGGCATGGCCATGCCCACGGGAGGGGACATGCCCGGACGGGGGCCGTGGAGGAGCCTCCTGGCCACCTGGCGGGCGGCGTGGCCGGGCTCAGGGCCATCTGCTCGCGGTGACTCTGACTTGCTCTTCTCACACTTGAGACCATTTTAATTTTTAAGCTCCAGCAAATGAAGAGGAGGAGGAGGAAGAGGAGGAGGAAGAGGAGGAGGAGGAGGAGGAAGAGGAGGCCGTGGGGTGGGGTGGCCCCTCCAGGGCCCAGCCCTGCCCTCCCGGCCAGGCCCCAGCCCAGAGCCCGCTTGGCCACGGTGACGGCTGCCGCAGGGCAGCGGGTCCTCCTGCCTGGCTCCCCGGGAGCTCTGCGTGGGACCCCAGGGCTGCCGCAGCTCTGTGTCCCCTTCTGTCCTGCAGCCGGGCGGCTGCTCCCGACTTCTCTGGAAAAGCAGCTCCAATCAGACCCAAGAGTCTCTGCCTCGCTTTGTCCCCGGGTTCGAAGGAACCATTGCTTCAGGACTTAATCCGTCACGATCACCCGTGGGCTGCGCCTGGGCCCTGGGAGCCCCCTGGCCGGGACTGGCCCTGGGGACACCAGGCCTCCGCCCTCCTCTCCGCGTCTCTCCCTTTAATGTCCCTGTGTCACCCGCCCCCCAGCTGTCCAGGGCCGGCCCTGCTGGGCTGTGAACGGGCAGCGTCTCTCTGAAGGGCGATGTGTCACATGCCATTAAAGCCTTTGGAAAGTCCCCTCCAGGAATCGGCCCTGGAGGAGAAACCGGATCGGGGTCCACGCTGCTGTGCCTGCTCCTCCTGAGTGACCACCTGGCCACGGCGGAGGCCGCACAGGGCCACGGCAGCGTCGTCACAGACCGAGGGAAGAGAAACCCGGGGAGGGGACGGGGCAACGGGGGGCGCTCCGGAGCCATCATGCATCAGAGGTGACAATGGCCACCGCGACAGAGAGCGGGCGTTTGCTTCCAGCTCTGCGACAGCAGCGTTAAGGGGAGAAGCCGGGGACGGGCCCGGCGCCCCCCGTCTGCCCAACGCGCAGGTGGGTTGAGCTGCTTTCCTGCCTCTGGACTTTTTTCCTCATGATTTTATAAAGAAAGGAAACGACCGCGCAGAACAACAGGTTCTTTTTACTTGAACCAACGTCCACAGGTGTCCCTGAGTGACGACGGACTTCCACCGGTGACCTGACATGCACCTTGGCTTTCTGGTTTCAGAGCATCCACATGTTTCATTCGCAGAGGGAAGACGGAAGCCAGGGCCCTGAGTGGGCGCCAGGCCCCCGAGAGGCTTCCAGTGACGCTCATTTGATTCTTTAGACTTTTCTCGATTTTCTTTTTCTTTCTTCTTCTTTCGTTTGCGGTCAAGCATACACTACTTTTATGTAATAAAAAAAGTAATAAGTTATATTATTACAGAAAATCTGAGATCGCCTCCGTGCATTGGACATTTGCTATGTATCTTAATCCACAAACGTTGGTAAAGTTGGTAACAGTCTCATTTGATAAACTGGGAAGCTGAGGAACAGAGAGGGTAAGTACCTTGCCTAACAACACACAGCTGTAGCTCTAATTCTGCTCTGATGTGAAGCTGGTGCTCTTTCCATTAACACCCAGCTGCTGCTAAAGGACCCACAGGAAGATCAACGCGATTCCTGCCTCCACCAATCAGCTCTGGGCTCTCCCACCCGTCCCTGTGCCTGTCCCCGTGCCTCTCTGGTCTCTCCCCTCTGCCCTTCGCGGCAGAGCAGAGCGCGGGTGACGGGCCTCGGGCCTCGTGTGCTTAGATGCCGTGACGCCAGGGGCTGGCGGCCCAGGTTCTCCCGCGGTCCCGATGTCCCTCCTCGCCCTGTTTCTAAAGTGAGTAGAGGACGAGGCACTTAAAGAATCAGCAGGGGCTGCAAAGACAGAGGATGTGAGATCACTTCCCAAACTTGTGCTGATGCTGGGGACGCCCAAGCCCGGTCCCCCTCGGCCATCAGCCCTGCCTCACCTACAGGCACCTCCGCACCCTCTTGTCCTCCAGCTTCCCAGCTGGTCGCTCCAAAGCAGGAACCAGGGTGAGTCACTCTGTGAAAACCCTTAGCGGCTCCCATTTCCTTCTCCAATTCCTCTGCTCTGAGCAGACCCTCGTTTTCTTGTTCCTCTTCCTGTGGCTTCTCTCTGATCTCCCACCTCCCGAGTGCCCTCTTGTCCAACCCCCGCTGCCCGGACAGTTCCCTAGAGGCCGGCTTTATGCCTCAGGGCCTTCGCTCGCCCCTTCGGAGTGTTCTTCCTGGGCAGCAGTTACTTTCCTGGCGGCCGGGTGTGGCGCTCCTCCTGGGCCCTGGCTCTGCCATCCTGATCCCTGGTGGGCAGCAGATGGCACGGGGACAGCTGGACGAGAAGCCCAGCGCGGGAGGCTCCTCCTGGGGCTCCGCTGGGCGTGGCAGTTTTCAGGCCTGGGGTCAGCTGGCTCTTCTTCCCGTCACCTGGTGGGGCCAGGAAGTTTCAGTTTCCCAAATCCCATTTTTGAAACATGACATTTTAGCACCAAAGTGGACGTCTTCCCACAAGCCCTGCTCTTGGCTGCCCCCAGCCCCAAGCCTCAGGGTGACCTTGGGTGCCCCTCCCCGCCGCAGGAAGCCCCTCTGCTCTCAGGTGGGGGGCAGGGAGTGCCCAGGAGCCAGGGGGCAGCGCCATTGCTTTGGGAGGCTGCTTGCCCGATGCCCGGATCCTGTCACCCTCCCCTCCCCCTCACTGGGGAATCAGGTGAGGTCAAGGGCGGCCAAAGGGCCAGCTTCCCAGAGGCCCCCCCCGGCCCAGGCCACGTGTCACAGAAGGGTCCTATGCACGAGTGCCCCTCCATGTCCACACGTGGCCCCTGATCCTCTCAGAGTTCCAGGGCTGGCCGCTGGGGACAGAAGGAGGCCACAGTCCTCCTGAGGGGCGCTGAGGACCGTGGAGCCTCGGGTGCCGGTCACTCTGAATTCTCTCCAGTCTTGCCCAACGTCACCCTCACGGGCCCTGCAGCTGCCCCTGTCCCGCATACCCTCCCCCTGTCTGTCATCCTCTGTCACCAACCTGTCACATCAGACCTCTCCTCCCATGAGGACATCAGCCCCAGAGGGCAGGGATCCTTGTCTCGGTGGCAAATGCCCCAGCTGGACCAGGGCCTGCCACGCAGATGGCACACGTCATCACTGTTGGCTCGCTGGGGACAGGACGGTGGTCAGTGGCCACTCACTAGGCTCCCTGTGTAGTGCTGGGCACGACGAGGAGAGAGCCCTGGGGTCCATCCAACGCTGGCTTCCCGTTGCCTCAGGATGGAAACCGGAATCCTCCACCACGGCCCCCGACTCCTCCACCACGGCCCCCCGACTCCCGCTCCCTCCCAGCACACAAAAGGCCCCACGCCCGGCCTTATTGGCCTTGATGCTGGCTGCTGTTGGTGCCCCAGGACCTTTGCACTTTCTGTCCTTGCTGCCCGTGGATGATCACGGGCTGTCAGCCCTGCTCAGTCCCATCCAACCCAGTCACGCCCGTCACCACCGACCACTGCTCCATTTATCTGTTATTGGAAATGATCTTGGTCATTCATTGACCAGTAGAACCAGTTCACTGCAGGGATCTCAACGCAGTGGGCTCCAGACCTAGGCCAGTCCCTGGCTCTAGTTGCCCATGGCCTCCTGCTCTACCCTGGGTCCTGACCAGTGGGCCAGCCGTCCCTGAAGCACAGGCCACGCTGGATGGGACTCCAGGAGCTGGTCTCCTCCCCCCGGCCTGCTCTGCTCCGGCCCTGTCTGCGGCAGCCCCTGTGGGAATTGGGGTGTCTGGTCGTTGGGGGGCTGAGCCTCTGCTGCTGGGGCCCTCGGGAGGGGGCAGCCCTGCCCTTTCCCAGGCGGGAAGCTGCTCTGTCCAGCTGTGGCTCCTGTCCTTGTGGTCCCCAACAAGCCCTGTGTGGAGCCACCTGTCTCTGCTCCCCCAGGGGACGTGTGAGCTCCCAAGGTCACCCTCGCCCACCTGCAGCTGGCACCAGCTCCTGTGGTCAGTGGCGTCCAGCCGGGGCACAGCACCAGGGCTGCTTCCTGGCAGTGTCCTCCGCAGGGTCTCTGGGGCCTCCCCCGCCTGGCTCGGGCGGCAGGATGGCGGGCGGGGGGGCACTGCCAAGGCGCCCACCTTCTGACAGGGACAGGGGTGGGAGGGCAGGGGCGGGCATCTCCTGGCCGGGGTGTGACCTTGAGGCATCGGCTCCTCAGCACCAACTCTGTCCACAGTCCTGGGCCCCAGGGGCAGCTCAGGGTCACAGGAAATGCTGCCCGCCACGTTCCCTTGGTCGAGTGTTGAGGGTTTCCAGTGGAGGCCAGCGCCTGGTGTCACCGGGGCCGGAGACAATGCCAGCGCCTCCTCAGCCCTCAGCAGTGACTCGGTGGGGGGTTGGGACAGACTGGGGTGGCAGCAATAGGGGCACGTTGAGGAGTGACAGGACGCGGCCTGATGTCACAGGTCCCGAGGGCCCTCACTTCACTCCAGGGACCTTGAGGTGGGCTGACCTGCCCCGGAGCCCAGGAGGCGGCAGGAGGGGGTGGGAGCGAGGCCCTGGCGCCCTCGGCCCGCGGGGCCCACGGCTGCTGCCGCCCTGCGTGGATGCCCAGACCCCACGCCTGGGGACGAAGTCAGCCCGAGGAGCTGGGCCAGGGAGACGGCAGGTCGTGGCCAGGAAGCATGTTGATTTCCATTACTGCCCGCACCCTCGGGACGCACCCGGCTGCCCACCCCCGCCGGTGCCCACGGGGCAGAGGCCTGGGGCCAAGGGGAGAGGGGTGGAGCCTGGGGGGGCGAAGCCACAGAGCCCTGGGGACAGCCATAGCCCACGGCAGGGGCCAAGGCGGCCAGGGGCCTCTGTGGGTGTCACCAGCGCAGCAGGCGATGCAGGGGGGTCTGGGAAGGTGAATCTGGGGTGGGGACAGGATGGAGCTGTGGTGCTGTGTACAGAGGGGACAGCTGCCCGGCCCGCTAGCAGGTGGCCACGAGGGAAAGGCTGCGCCCCAGGCTCTTGCCACTCAGGGTTCCCCGCAGCTGGGCCAGGTGGGCCCTTCACAGGCGAGGCCCGGGGGAGGCCAGCAGAGGACACTGCTCTGTCAGGGACAAGCCCCCTCAGGGAGCCCTGGCATCTGGAGCCCTAGGAGCAGGTCAGAGCAGGGACAGGCCCCAGCCCCACTGCAGCCATCATGGGTCCCGGCTGTGCCCAAAGCCACCGTGGGGTTTGCAGGTGGAAGGCCCTTCAGGACCTCGGCACCCAGCCATGCAGGGTGGACAGGACGCTCCACGCCCCACTCCAACAGCTGGTGACCACCGGCTGGGGCAGGGCTCCCGGGCTGCTCTGGGAAGGACCGACGGACGGGCCAAGGATGGACACAGCTGCGGCTGCTGCGCTTCCTCCTAGTTTTATTTGCGGCTGTCCTGAGGTCCTGGGGCGCAGAGCAACTCCAGCGCCGCTCGTCCTCCAGGGAGAGGCCACGGCCAGGTCCACGGCGGCCCAGGCGGCCGCTCACACCAGGGTGTGGAAGGCGTCCACCCTCTCCCGGTACAGGTGGTGGAACTGCTTGGCCAGGCAGTGGAAGGGGGCCTCGTAGCTCTCCATCTCCTTCTGCAGAGACAGGGGGCTGAGGCCGCGCTCACCTGCCCAGCTCCAGTGGGGGCCATCAGGGCCACCGGGTCCCGCCCCGTCCACCTGGCACCATCAGGGGAGGCCACTGTCACGCTGATTCTACAAGTGATCTGGGACACAGGGAGGGGGTCTGCTGGCAGCCACGCGCCACTTAGACGGCAGGGCAGGGCCTGGACCTCGGCCCGTTTCCACGGAGCCTGTCCTGAAGGCCACCCTGGCTGCACGTGTGACAGGAGCCCAGAGGCCAGAGCAGAACAGCTGTGGAGGAAGAGCTCGGCCGCCCGGCGGGAGGACAGGGGAGGCCTCGCGGAGAATGTGGCCAGGGCGGTGGGGGCTCCCGGGGAGGCCACTCTCCTGCACCCCCAGTCAGGGGGAGGGTTTCAGGAGAGCCTGAGGCCCAGGTAACCCAGCTGACCCCAGGCCAGGTGAGGTGGCCGGCTGCTCTGGTGGCCCAGGGAGGACAGGCTGCCAGTGGGATGACTGGCACTGCCTCCCGTCAGGTGGCACCTGTGGCCACGCTCCCACCTCCAGGCCAGTGGGTCAGGTGGGAGCCCCTGAAGGACGGTGCTGGGGCCGTCAGGGGTGGACGGTGCGTCCCTGGGGACAGGGAGGGCATCTCTGAGGTCCACAAGCCTCAGCCGGCACCCTGGCTCCTGCCTCTGCCCTCCTGCAGCCAGGGACGCCCAGTCAAGGTCCTGCCCACCTTGCAGGACCAGGCAGGGGACAGCTGAGATGAGGAGCTTCTCATGACTCAAGGGTCAGGGGACATTTTTATGGGGAACAGGGAAGTTAAAGACGCGCCCTGGGTGGTGTCTAAGGGAGGGAATTAGGGGCTCTCAGGGTGGGCCAGTGGCCACTTGGGCTGCATGGCCACCGTGCTCTTGCTGTGCGTGGCCTGCACGTCTCTAATTTTTAAGAAATAAGTCGCCAGAAGGAAGAACCCACTGCGCCCCAGACAGCGGCTGAAGCATGAGAACCTGTCTGGAGACCACCCTGGGCGAAGTGCAGCCTCGTGACGGCCGTGAAGTGTCCCCAGCTCAACAGGCAAAGAAGTCAGGGAGGTGGTGGCTCTGGGTGGGGTCACTGCATTCCACAGATGGGCAGCCTGGGGCTGGGAGCAGGGCCCCGTTGGCTGGCACAGGGCTGGCCTCTGGCCTCCGTCCAGGTCCCCACCCCAGGAGCCCACCTCTCAGGAGGCCCGAAGTGACCAAAGGGAACCAGGTCTGTGGCGTGTCCCGGGCTCTCCAACGCACGACCTTGGGAGATCCCAGCATAAAAAGTGAGGAATTCCGGGCCGCGAGTCCCAGCAGACACACGGATGCTCCGGAAATAGATGGAAATCGAACCATTTTCCAAATGCATGAAGAGGCTCCAGTGGCAGGAGCCCTTTGTCAAAGGACTGATCATAACCTCACTCTGGAGCGCGGACGCTGACGGGGGCTGGGTAGAGCAGGACCTTTAACCAGGCTCGCCTAGAATTATGTCCCCAAGAGCCCCAGCAGGTTCTGGGAGGCAGCAGGAGCACCTGCTCGAAGGCTGAGCTTTCCAGCCACCTGAGCCCGAGTCCTGGTCCTTCACTGTCAGCTGTGCAGCCAGGGCAGCTCCACGACCTGAGTCTGCATGTCACTGGCATAAGAGGGACAGGAGCAGCTGTCCTGCTGTGATGCCTGCACACAGAGTGTGCACCATGCCCAGCGCACAGTAGGCCCTCAGCAAATGCCCGGCACACAGTAGGCCCTCAGCAAACACTGTTCCCTCCCCCTCGCCACCTGGGAGGGCAGGTGGCCTGGGAAGGTGGCTCTTGTTGACCTGTAACAGTGTCTTGGTGATGAAGACTCTTCTTTTTGTTGCTGTTGTTTTAACATTTTAAGTTTTGTTTAAAGAAATACTTTGATTTTTTTGGCCCTCAAATTTCAAACACAGAGGGGTGCTGGGAAGCCAAGGACCAGCAGGTTCCCGCGGGTCAGCCAGACGAGCATGGCTGCGCCCAGAAGGATGGGACACATCCTGGGCTGGGAATGGGAACATCAGCCCAAACCAGACCACAGATGGTGGCCTAGCCACTGGACACGTGGCCGTTTGAAAGCTGCTTCTAGCAGAGGCCACGTCAGCCTCAGCAACACTGCAAGTGATACTCACCACGGACGTTTCAAAACATTCCAGGCCCTGGCCCAGCGCCCACGCCCGGGCCTGGGCCGAGTCCACTGCCCGCCTGCCAGCCAGGTCTGTCTTGTTTCCCACCAGGACACCTGCCCAGAGAACACAGGTGGCACCCTCAGCCGTGGCAGGCTGGGGGTCAGCAGCAGAGACAAAGAGGCAGCGTGCGGTCCGCGGGTACCAAAGAGTGGCCTGACCCGGGGTGAGGGGTGGCAGGCGCCTGGGTCTTCAGCGCTGCCCCGAGGGTGAAGGTGCTTTGCTTCTGACTTGTGGTTGGCTCAGGGTTTTTCCTAGGTTTCACGTGTCCCTGTGTCCCTGTCTCCTCAGGGCTGCAGGCCTCATGAAGGCCGAGGCCACATTTATGTGTGCGCTTGCGGTAATTCCTAGCGCATGGAGCAAACTTTAAAATGGTCATTAATACTAATCCAGGGCCTGGGCTCTGAGTCAGGGACTCCGAGGTAATTTAGCTCTGTTCCCAGCTGCATCGGCTGCAGCTAATTTCCGAGCCGTCTCTGGGGACCGCTTTCCCTGGTCTATAATGAGGAGAATTTGTTGATCTCACATAGGGAGCAAGGTAAACGGATTTAAGGCATTCAGAAGTGACAACAGGACTTGGATGTCACTTGCACCCCACACAGAGGATGAAATGAGGCCTTCTTCCCCGGGGTGGGCTTTCTGGAAACATCAATTCCTCTTACAGTGCCTCCCCCCTATCATCTTGAGCCTCGCCAGGACTTGGTGGCCAGCAGGGTGGCACCCCCGGTGCAGACCCCGAGAGGGAGGCGGGCGTGGCTGCTGAGAGGCAGCAAGTCTGAGTTGTCAGGCCAAAGCTCAGGGGCCCTGTCCGGTGCCACAGCGACCCCTGCGATGGCCTCAGGCTCTGGAGCTAAGGACAGGTGCTGCCGTCCTACCTGGCAGGGTGGTGCCTGGAGCCTGCGCCCGGACCTTCTCCAGCCACTTCCCACAGCTGTTGAAGGACTGCTCGTTGGTCACGTCGTAGACCAGACACAGGACGTTGGGACTCTCCCACTGCGGGGGGGGGACAGGATGGGCACAGGTCAGGAACACCACAGGGACTCCCAGGCTGGACCGATCTGGCTTTCAGGCAGGGAGGTGGGTGAGGGGCGTGAGAAGCCACAGGGTGGGCCAGGAACAGCCATGGAGGTGCAGTGCCCACGGGTTGGAGGAAGGCCTGCCCAGGGGCTGGCAGGGCTGCGGGGGAGGAGGGTGCAGGCCATGCTTGGCTGGGGCTGTGGGCCAGGTGACACTCTGGACTCGCAGGGCTGGAGTGGGTGGTCCCACTTGCAGCTGAGGAATCTGAGTTTGGAGAGGGCCGGGCGGGACGGAGGCCTTCCTCTGCCCAGAGCCTGCGCTCCCCGCCATGGGCCTCTCTGGCCCGCTCTCCCGGTGTCCTTGGAGGGCCTTCCCTGCAGGCGGACGCGCTCCTGTCCTCGCAAGCCTGAGTGCGCTGCCCACACTAGCCAGCCCCGGGGCGCCCGTCTGCACCTTCTTCAGGCCTGGCTTTCAAAATGCAGACAAGGCTTCCTGCTCCTCCTGCTGTGGCGGCAACAGCCCTAATACGCACCACTTAGGAGCCAGGGCGACATTCTGGAGGGCCGTCAGCTCCAGGGGCTGCTCGAGTCCTGGGCTTCCTGCCACCGGGGTGTGGACACCTGCTCTGTGCAGTCTGTGGGCTCCGCCATCCTGCACCATTAGCCTCTGGTTTATTTCTGGGGTGTCAGTAGGCTTCCAGACACAGGGAGAATCCTTTTTCCAAGCTGTCCTTGGAAGGTCAGCCCAGGACTGGCTCTGGGGACCCCTCCCCACTATGCTGGTCCTGGAGGCTCCCGAAGGCCACTGGCCTGCCCTCCGGGTGAGATCATGGATTCTCACTAGAGCCACACTGACCTCCGCTGTGTGCATGCAGGAGACACTCAGTGTGGCTTCAACCCAAGAACCCT